TCTACTTCTAGGAGGCTAGCCGCAGAGCCTCTTCATTGGCCAAATTTAGCACTAAAATCTCTGCTAAGACAGCTTAGTCCTTTTCTTCTCTCACAAAATCAAACTATGGAAACCAACGGAACACAGTTCAATCCAATCACCACCTAACACGTGTCGAATTACAAGATTTGAATGGTTCCTACCTATAAATCCCTTTCCACTTATTTGTATGTTGCAATACACACTATATTTACTCAATTGAAGTCAACTTCCAACTCCTTTCCGTCCAAGAACAGAGCAAAGGAAAAAAAAGAAACGGAGGATCTTAAAACAGAAAACCTCTGTTTTTGATTCTCTGTTTTTCCATTGCTCCAGAAGAGAGACCTTTTAGAATGAAGTCAGAGACTTTAACATTGGTTTTAGTGAATCTAGCTGGGATACTGGAAAGAGCAGATGAGTCTTTGTTGCCAGGAGTCTACAAGGAAGTTGGTGCGGCTTTGCATACAGACCCAACAGGGCTGGGTTCATTGACACTTTTTCGATCAATAGTTCAATCTTCTTGCTATCCTTTAGCTGCTTATCTTGCTATGCATTACAATCGTGCTCATGTCATTGCTCTTGGCGCTTTCCTCTGGGCTGCTGCCACCTTTCTTGTTGCCATTTCCACCACCTTCCTCCAGGTCTCTCTCTCTCTTAATATAAAGTTTTATATTTTATACAGCCCTCTTGATTTGCAATTTTTTTCCCTGTATTTTGGCTGATATGATATTTGCTTTCTGGGTTCGGTTGATTAGTTTCTTTCATGCAATACGAATGCCCATTTGTTGGTTTTTTTTATATGATTTAGTTTTATTGTGGACTTCGAGTTTTTCTATTTTTGGTGATAGAAGTAGATCAAGTGGTTCTTATGTAATTGGATTGGTTTTTGAATGGGGAAAAAGGGGCTGCCTCTTATTTGCTTTGGTCAAAGTTGGAGAACTGGTGCAGGAAAATGCAAGATTATGGAAGAAATATATTGTGTTCCAATGAGAAATCTGTAATTAGAGTTTTTGAAACACTTCTTTATTCAGTTATTTTTATGTGGTTAAAATTTGATTAAGATGCAGCATCCCAAAGCAGAAGAAGAGTTAAAGTATATTGAGTGCTACATAGATTTAATGGAAAGAGATAATCAGGTCGATTATATGTTATGAATGTTTTTTATTTCATATTTTAAGCTCAGTGAATTTAAAGCCTCGTTAAGGATGAAACTAGAAGCTAGTGTCTTATCTAAGGCTTACAATTCTTGCATTATGCCTAAAATGAGTTTTATTTTTCTTTGTTATTGGATCATATGGTACAATTGTTATAGTATAAATTAAGCATAAGCTTATTAGACTTGTCACGAAATTTAACTGATGCTTTGTTTATATTTGGTGGATAGTTTTTAGGAAAAAAGAACTTATTCCTTGGCATCAGCAGGTGCATAATCTAGCAACTACTCTCTTATTTGGCTAATTAGGTTGCAGTTTCAAGAGGTTTGAATGGGATTGGACTTGCCATTGTCATACCTGCCATTCAGTCCCTTGTTGCTGATTCAACTGATGATGGTAACCGTGGCATGGCTTTTGGATGGCTACAACTGACGGGAAACATTGGCTCTATCCTAGGTGGGCTCTGTTCAGTGCTAATTGCCTCAAAAACTATCATGGGGATACCTGGCTGGAGATTTGCTTTCCATTTGGTTTGGGTAATCAGTGTCGTGGTTGGTATTTTGGTCCGTCTTTTTGCTAATGATCCACGATTTTCTGATAGTGATAATAGAGCCAAGGAACAGCTTGCACATAAGTCTTTTTCATTACAATTGAAGGACATCATAAAAGAAGCAAAGTCAGTCATGAGAATCCCAACTTTCCAAATTATTGTTGCTCAAGGTGTTTCAGGATCATTCCCCTGGTCAGCTTTGTCATTTGCCCCTATGTGGCTTGAACTTATTGGCTTCTCCCATGAAACAACAGCATTTATCATGACCCTTTTTGTAATTTCTGGTTCACTTGGTGGTCTTTTTGGAGGAAGGATGGGAGATATACTAGCTAAACGCTTGCCCAATTCTGGGAGAATTATTCTATCACAGATAAGCTCAGGTTCTGCAATCCCCATAGCAGCAATATTGCTGTTGGCATTACCTGATGATCCCTCCACTGCATTTATGCATGGTCTCGTATTTTTTATCATGGGGTTGTGCATATCCTGGAATGCTCCAGCAACTAACAAGTATGTATTCTTAGTCCATTTTATACATGTTCACTGTGTCAAATAACTAACATGGTAGTAACTTTATGATGCTAGGGTTGGATAGGGAATAAAGTGAAGTGCAACAAAACTTTGGTTCATACTTTATAGTAACACAGCACAAGCCTCAAAACTGGATGTGACACAGCCAGGCATGGAGCTAAATTCAGTTGCTTCACCTTAAGAATTTTGATCAACTAAGGCATAGTTGGCATGGATGTTCAGACACTGGACAGTGTTTGGATACAAGATGTAGGGTCAAAAATCCGAGTGGACTACCCCTGCTCCCTGAAAACATAGTTCTGACATTCTGCGACTTTGTTCAGCCTCAGTAAGAACTTAGTTTAGATTCTCTACTCATTTAGGACGAGATTAAACAGGGACAGATATCTGATCAAGACAGATATTTGTGATGAAAAAGGACATCACAAGTAAAAATGTCTGTTCTAAGTCACAAGTCTTTTTCACAGTGACAGATATTCTTGATACAGCAGACTTGAGAATTAGAACAGACATTTTTCTTGGAGCAAAAGAAGACATTCTTTACTGTGAGGACTTTGTTTCAAACTGTAGATGTATTTAATCAGATTACCTAGTTCATTGCCTTATTTGCAGCCTGTGCCTCAGGGTTTTGTCGGTGATAATAAAGGGACAGCGCTAGTAAATGAATGGTGTTAAGACAGTTTTATGTCTAATTTTAGTTTGTGTTTTCAAAAATGTCCAAAATTAGCATTTGGAAGTCTTTTCAATTTGTTTTGGCTCACAAGCACTACCATGGTCTAAGGATTACGTGGTGCTAGTAGTGGTTAATTCAGTAAGTTTATACACTGATTATATTATTCTATAGGCCAACCTGATTAATCCTCTAGTTGCACTGCTCCTGCATGCTAAGCAAGTAGTAGAGTTTGTATACTGTCAACTGATGCACACATTAGCTAATAGTTTCATACTTTCAATGCATGCAAATTAGAATAGTATATCTGCATTTTATTATCATTTTCTGGTATAATGAATGGTGTACATAGTCCAATATTTGCAGAGATTGTACCTGAGAAATCCCGAACAAGCATCTATGCCTTGGATCGATCTTTTGAGTCTATACTGGCATCTTTTGCTCCTCCTATAGTTGGGATTTTGGCTCAGCATGTTTATGGTTATAAACCAATACCTAAAAGGGCATCAGACTCTATAGAGATTGAGACAGATAGAGAGAATGCTGAATCACTTGCTAAGGCACTTTACACAGCAATTGGGATTCCAATGGCAATCTGTTGCTCCATTTACTCATTCCTTTATGGCACGTATCCAAGAGACCGGGAGAGAGCAAGAATGCAAGCATTGATAGAATCTGAAATGCGACAACTAGAGGGAAATAATTCTCCATCAGGTGACAAAGAATCCGAATTTTGTGTTGCAGACTCAAAAGAGCTTACTAACACGGAAAGGAGTGAAATTTACATGGAGTTTGGAGGGGAGGAGAGCCTTGATTCGGACAATAATGATGAGAAGTCTCTTCTGAATCACCAGCATGCTTCTCAAAGTTAGAAGACTAATAAACATGTAAGACAGAAGCTGAGCTATCCAAGTTGACTTCACCTGAAACTACACAAGTTGTAAAAGGCTTCAACAACTTGGTTTCTTCTGAAGGCCCTTCAAATTCTCATGTGAAGAGAATTTCTTATTCAATCAGGCTCTTTAATTCTTCAGAAGTGATCATGTTGGCATGTTCCACGACTTTAGAAATATACTTTTAATCTGAGTCACTTGTGAATCAGTCCTTGTTATTTTCATTAATCTCATGATCTATAGGTGATCATAATAATTCTTCATCTATTTCTGAATATACTTGCAGTTGTAGCATATGCTGCATGAAAGCTTCATAGTTCAAAGTTGCATGAAAAGAAGCAAAGTTAACGAGGATAATAAGGCTGTTGGCATATAAATTGTTGTCACATTAACTCAATGTGCTTCTGGCCTTCTGCAATATAAATTGTTGTTAAAAATATTGGACTCTAATCCGTACCTCGTTCTCTGGCAGGCTTGTTTTGAAGACCTAACATTTAATCACTCCATCTCAACTAAATTGATTTTACAAGGATTTTAGGGCGGTTTTGCTAATCAGATGTTTTCTGGGTTCAGTTATTTTCCTTATTTATAAATGTCTACCTCGGTTATCCCGATGTCGAGAGTTTGAGGCCCCTCTCACCCCATTTCTTTTTATATTGGAAATTCACTTTGTTT